ACCTTTCTCTGCAGGTTCTCCCACATGGTAATACCCTATCCAAGCTCACTGCTCCTGGTGGATGCAACATTGTTGCCATTGTAACCAACATTTTCTTCAGCAAAGTTTCCTTCATACAGTCCACAATCATCTAAATCAATATTTGAATCACATCTCTTTCTACAGATTTCAGTTTGTTGTGATTGAAAGTCAGGCCTAAGTCAGCAGCTCCAGCAAAGAGTGGCACATCCAGAAAGGCATCGAGACAGTCGCTTAACAAAGTCACCAAGAAACCACCCAAGAAGCAGAGGAAGACTGGGAAACAAAGCTATTCAACCTTCGTGTACCGGGTGCTGATTCAGGTCCATCCTTCCACCAGCATTTCCTCCAGGGTCGTGAATGTCGTGAACTCCTTCACTGTCAACATCGGAGTGCATTGCCTCTGAGGTTTCGTACCTGATTTATTACAACAAGCCCCAGACCATATTGGCCAGGGAAATTCAGAGCGCCATCCGCCTTATGGTGCCGGGCGAACTAGCCAAACACACCATCTCTGAAGGCACAAAAGTGGTCACCAAGTGCACCAGCTCCACTTAGATTGGCCATGCTAATGAAAAATAAAACATTCATGTACTTGGTTAGAAACTTGATGCAGCAGGGAGGGCTTTAGATTGGGAGAGATAGCATCTTGCACAGCTTTGATTGATTCGGGCCTTCTTTAGGCACAACCTATTTCCTTGTGGGGTGATTTGCCAATGTTATTCGGAAGGGCTTAAAACTAACTTGGCCAGGGTGTGGGAACTAATTCCAAGGAAGCCTTGTTTTAAAAACTACACTACCCAATGTCCACAGTGAACGTTCAATGACCTCTTTTAAAGAAACTAATTCAGACATGTCAACAAAAACTTCAACTAAATTCTCTTTTTCATAATCCTTTAAAACTTAACTCTTCTAAGCAATACTAAAGTGTCTTCATAATAGTTGGCAAAACAGCAGTATTCCCAGCCTCTAACCTACTACTGTAACCAATGTATTTGTATGGCAAGTCCAATTGAGCTGGATGTTGCTAATCAGGAATTCAGTGATGGTAACATCTTTGAGTGTCAAGGGTTGGTAATCAGATTGTCTCTTATTAGAGATGTCATTGCCTGGCATTTGTGTGGCACAAATGTTACTTACCAATTGTCAGTCTAAGCTTGGATATTATCCAGGTCTGGTTGCATTTGAACATGGGCTACTCCAGCATCTGAGGAGTTCGAATGGTGCTGAACATTGGTGAACATCTTCACCTCTGACCTTACGATGAAGGGAAGGTCATTGAAGGAGCAGCTGGAGATAGTTGGGCCTAGGACACTACCTGGAGAAACTCCCGTAGAGATGACTGACCTTCAACAACCACAACCACCTTCCTGTGTGCCAGGCATGACTCCAACCATTGGAAAGTGTTCCCCCGATGTCCACTGATTTAATTTTTGCTCGGGTTTCGTGATGCCATGTTTGGTCAAACGCAGCCTTGATGTCAAGGTCTGTTATTCCCACCACCCCTCTTGAATTTAGCTCTCCTGTCCGTGTCTGAACCAAGGCTGTAATGAGGTCAGGAGTGAGTGGCCCTGGCAGAATCTAAACTGGTTACCAGCAAGCAGGTTATTGTTAAGCAAGTGCTGCTTGATAGCACTGTTGATGAAACCTTCCACTACTTTACTGATAAGACGACCATAAGATATAGCAGCAGAATTAGGTCATTTGGATCATCAGGTCTGCTCCACCATTTGACCACGACTGATATCTTTTTCAACCATTCTCCTGCCTTCTCCCCATAACCCTTAATTTCCTTACGAATCAAGAACCTATCACTGTCTTAAATACACTCAATGACTTGGCCTCCATAGCCTTCTTCGACAATGGAATTCCACAGATTGACCACCCTCTGACTGAAGAAATTCCTCCTTATCTCAATTCTAAAGGGTAATCGCTTCACTCTGAAGTTGTGCCCTTGGGTCCTTGTCTCGCCTATGAGCAGAGACATCATCTCCATGACCACTCTGTCCAGGCCTCTCAGTATTCTGTAAGTTTCAGTCAGATCTCCCTCATTCTTCTAAACTTTATCGAGTCCTCAATTAATGTGAGAAGTCCTTCATCTCCAGGATTATTCTTGTAAATCTCCTCTGGACCCCCTCCAATACCAGGACATCTTTTCTTAGGGGCCCAGAAACTGCTCACAATATTCCAGATGCTGTCTGACCAGAGCCTTATACACCATCAGTAGTACACCCTTGCTCATTTTATAGCCCTCTTGAAATGAATGCTAATGTCGCATTTGTATTCCTAACTGCCAAATTAACCTGCATGTTAACCTTCAGAGAATCCTGAACCAGGGCTTCCTGTGCTTCAGATTTCCACAACTTTTCTCATTTAGAAAATAGTCTACACCTCTATTCTTCCTACCAAAGTACATAACCTCACACTTTTCAACATTGTTTTCCATCTGTGATTTCTTAGTTGACTCTCCCAGTCTGTTCAAGTCCTTTTGCAGCTCCCCACTTCCTCATCACTACCTATCCCTCTACCAACGTAGAAACAATGCCCACAGTCCCTTCATCCAGATTATTAATACATAACATGAATTGGTGTATTCCCAACACTGACCCCACCAGTCACTTGAAAAAGATCCCTTTATCTCCACTCTCAAAAGCCCAATGTTGTTTGTGTTTCATTGTATGGTCAGGAAGAGGGATGGCATCAATGACTAGGAACTAAGGGTGGTAGATATTAAACAGGGTTTCACTGATATTTCTACTTGCTGCCATATTTAGGTTCGAAATATAAAACCAAAGAAAAGAAAAGAACTTTCCTCGGCCTCTATTCCATTTCTCTTTGAAAAACACCTCAGATTCCACTCAAAGCTAATTTCACTTATATCTCTAATCGCTCATCACCTCTGTCTCTGATATATCACATTGCGTGTTCAAATTTCTGCACTGGATAAGCTGAAACTTTCTCAAGTAATAGGAAAGGTAAAACCATTGCCTTTAGTCCCCACTGTATTTTAGTTCCCTCGTCACTGATTCCATTCACTTCATGACTGCTGATCAATGTTAAACCAGATCATTTACACACCTTCTGTTCTGAGCACAAAGTGCCTTTGCTGCAACATTACAGTATAATTGACGGTGCAGCTTGAGGTGCAGCACTGAAGTGAAGAAGTAAATGGATTGGAGTCATGCCACGAGAGTTCTCAGAGGTTGGCAAGTTGGATGCCAAATGTGGTGTCTAAGGTGAGTTTCAATGATGTGTTTGCTTGACAGGTTTGTGAACTTCTAAAGAGTTTTTTTTTTAACAGCTGGAAAAATATTCTAGTGTTATGACATGGATTGAGAGTTTGCTACATAAGGATGTAAAGGAGGCATGGAAGATGCAAGAGGGTGAGAGGTAGGAGACCTAACAATCACTATCCCAATGAACAGAGACGAGCCTTCTATTCTACCAAACACAGCATGCACCCACCTCCACTCCCAGTGGGAGACAGTGGCCATGACTCCAGCCAGCACCAACTCTAGAAGATAAAAATTCAGGTGAATTATCTAACATCCGGAACTGTGGCATCAAAAAGTGGCCCAGCTCTCACTTTCCAACTCAAAGGTGAAACTCCTGACCATAGTATGCAAATTATTAACGTATAGTACTGAAATTCAAACACTATTATTAGTTTCGAATTAGTAAGTGCATACATCACTTAAGAATCAGGGCAAAATGGATAAATTTGGATTGAATGCTCCATAGGTACAGCCTACATTTTACAGTCATAGAACCCCACAGTGTAGAAACAGGCCAGTGAGCCCATCAAGTCCACACTGACCCTCTGAGGAGCATCTTACCCATACCCACCGCCTACACTTCCTATCCGAGACACTATGGGCAATTTAACATAGCCAATCCACCTAATCGGCACATCTTTGGACTGTGGGAGGAAACCGGAGCACCTGGAGAAAACCCACGCAGGCACGGGGAGAATGTGCAAACTCCACGCAGACAGTCGCCCGAGGATGGAATCAAACCCAGATCCCTGGTGCTGTGAGGCAGCAGTGCTAACCACTGAGCCACCGCGCCGCCCCAAATTTATGCGACATCTACAGGCATCAGCAACCGAAATGCCAACCTCTAAAAGTCCTCATTGTACATCTTCAAGATGGAGTGAGGTGACAGACTGCAACAGAGAAAAGATGGGAACAGAGAAAAAGACTGTAGAGGAAAGAAAAAAAAAGCGCGAAAAGGGCAGGGACAGAGAAAGGAAAAGATAAAGAAGGGAAAGAGAGAGACAAGTAGAGGTCTTCAAGCAGTAAATGTCAGGGAGCGGCCCCAAGAAGCATAGATATTAGCAGGAGGGGATGTCCAGAAGCATAAGGCTGTGAGGTATCAGAGAAGATGAAACCTTTTAAGGTTATTGCAGAGAGGTATTTAGGCAACCAATGTTAAGTAACAGATGAGTGGAGTGCACAGTCTGTTTTAAGGGTCTCCGGGAGTGCCATTAACTAATGGCATCGAGCGAATGCACAGAAATTTGTCAAAAGTTAAACTGCACCAGTGGGAAGAAGCTTTAGTATGGAGACTGGGTATCTCTTCACTGAGGTTTAAAGGTCTGGAAGGTTACAGCTGGTGTAAAAGGGTTGAATATTTCTTTCTGTTTCAAATAATTGGATGATTCTAGTCTTCTATACCGTAAAATAGTTTGTTTTGTGTAAGGTCTGTCAAGACAGGTTTCACTCCAAGATATGACTGATTTTGAATGACCACGAGTTGGGAGCATAATCACGAGATACAACTATTTTAGCAAGAGGCGGCGTACAATTCATAAGAAGCATAAGTAGTATACTGTTAGGTACTCATCTCCTCAAATTTGCAAGGCAGCAATATTGAAGGGAGTGATGTAAATAAATACATTCTATATTTAATAAAGTTAATACTTGATCACAATGGAGTTCTGAACTTGTGATAATGAATTTTTAAAAATTCTAAAAGCTCACCTGGAATGCTCTTAGAAGAGCCATGTGGTCACTAAATGTTCCGGCAGCAAAGCGCTTTCTACACAACATTGAAGCACGCTTTTGTGAAGGTTGTACTGGCAGAACAAATGGATCTCGATAGGCCAGAGTGCAGGCAATAGTGAGAATAGGATCAAGGCACTTCAAAACTACAGCACAAAGAACCATCTTTCCCAGATGAGGCTCCACAGGAAGATCCGCTAAGTGGTAACCAAGTTCTGTTAGATCTTCCCAACTATCCATGGCATCTATCGTCTAAAAACAAAATTAGTACAATAAATTTGCTTCAGATAATCCTTTATTTTAAAATATACGCCTTACTTATAGAGATAATAAATATCTCATACCTTGAGCATCTGAACAGCATTTCTAACAATAAGTGAAGGTGGGGGCTCTGGTGCTTTTGCAAGGAAGTCCGCAATTGGACAATTGATTGGAGCCAGCAGTTTGGTATGTAGGCAAAGTTCCTACGGATACAAACATGCAAATGAATCAATTGCATTATAAAACTGACTATTCTTAATCTCAATTATGTCTTTCTACAAATAATTGATTCGGATCAAGAATGAAGCCTTAGTTTTTTCCACAGACTCATCCAATATAAAACGCACAAGGCGCAAGAAAAAAAAAATTTTCAATGCCCTTTTTTTCCCCTCAATGCTCAATTCTGATAAAAACTATTGGAAGCATCAGTGGTGAATTAATTAAAAAAAAACTCCTCCATTTAACCCTTTGGTAGAGCAAAACACTACAAATATTTACTATTATTCACAAGAAAAAGAATGCATAATATGAATCATGAAACAAACATGCACCTGCAATGGCATCCGAAGTAATTCTGGCGTCTGAAACTCTAACAGGTTTTGGAATCGTAATCTGCTAAATAGGTGAAAACAAATTCCTGGTCGGCAGCGCCCTGCCCTATTCAAAAAAGAAACATAAATGAGTTAATCAAGTAAGAGGAGTCAATCTAGCTTTGTCTTTGTTTGTAACAATTTAGTATTCCACAAAATCCAAGTTTACAAAACACAACAAGCTGCAAACATTTTGGAAATCATCAAATTGGTAAATACATTGCTAATCAAAGGAAAAGCAATGATCATGATATTCTCAGAGCAGTGTTACAACTTTTGTCTTGATTTGATATTCTAAGTGCTAATCACTTCCTGAAGCATTGTGCATCCAGGGATGTGGCAGTACTGCCCAATATTTGACTAAACTAATAGAGCAACTTTGAGGGCAATAGCAGCCCCTTCAAGATTAAACCTGATATTCATCTCTTACACACAATCACATTGCCAGATGAAAATGAAAAATAACAGACGCGAAAATCTGGAACAAAGAGAAAATGCTGGAAATGCTCAGCATACAAGGCAGCATTTCTGTTAATAAAAATAGACATTGTTGGAAATACCCAGCAACATCTGGCAGCATCAGTGGAGAGAAAAACATAGTTAATGTTTCGGATTAATAACCTCTCACCAAAGCAGACCTATCGCATCATCTGTAGTTCTGTTTCTTTCTACACAAATGCAACTTAACCTGAAAATTATTTCTGGTGTTTTATGTTTCAATTTCATTATTAGAGAATTTCTGATTAGATGTGAACACTTTATAGTTACCAGTAAATAGTTCTAATCCTAAACTTTGAAAGTAAAGATATTAACAAAGGTGCTAAAAACCATGCAGCTGAGACGAGTCTCAAATAAACAACTGTACCAATGACTGGCCAAAAGACATTAGAGCAGAAATAGTTGGTCTACTGGTTTAGTCAAAAAATTGGCCCATTGTGTCTGCTCTGCTATTCAAGATCACAGCTGATCTGATAACTTGGAACTCCACTTTTTTGTCTGCTCCCCTTACCTGATTAGGGTTCTGTCTCAACCACCTTCAACAGCCTTTTGCCATAAGGAACCCACAGATTCACTATCCTCAGAAGAAATTTTTCCTCATCTCTGTCTTAAGAGGGTGTCTCCTTACCGAGATTACGCCTTCTGGTCCTGGACTCTCCCAATGAGGAAACAACCTCTTAGCACCTCCCCTATCAAGTCTCCTAAGAATCTTATGTTTAAACGAGATTATTTTTTACTCTTCTAAACTCCAGTGAATACAGACTAAACTATTTGTAAGAAATGCCTCTATGCTAAGGATCAGTTTAGCAAACCTTCTCTGGATTGCCTCTACTACCAATACATCTTTTCAGAGAGAAGATGACCAAAACTGTACACAGTATTCCAACCTTGTATACTTTTAGCAAGTATTCCCTATTTCTGTATGCCATTTTCTTTGAAAAAGGCCAACATTCTACGTGTCGTCTCTGTTCTGCTCATGTGCTAGCTTTTTGTTACACTTCTGTGCTGCAGCCTTTCATTCAATTACTCAGCCCTCTATTCTTCTTGTCAAGGTGCAAAACTTCACATTTTTCCACATTATATCACATCTGTCAAGCTTTTGCCCACTTTCTTAACCTGATTATTTCCCTCTTCAGAGGCTGTGTATAATCCTGACTATTTGCCTTGCTACCTATTTTTGTCATACAAAACCTGGTGATAGGTACATGCACTTTCCTCACCCAAGTTACGAATATACATTGTAAACATTGTGGCACCTGCACTGATCCCAGCGACATTCTATTAGATACAGACGGTCATCAAGAAATTGCTCCTCTTAGCTAACTCTTTCTTCTATTAGTTAGTCAATCCTCTATCCATGCTAAGATCCTCCTGCCAACTCTGTGGGCCCCTCTCTTATCAGGTAGTCATGCAAATGATATCTTAACACCTTTTGGAAATGCAAATCCTTGAATCACACCTACTGGCTTCCCTTTATCTATCTTGCCTGTCACCTCCTCAAAGAATTCTAATAAATTTGTCAGGCAAGGTTTCTCTTTCATGAGGCTATGCTGACTCTGCTTGATTATAGAAACATGGTGCAGGAGTAGGCCACTTGGTTCTTCATGCTGGCTGTGCCATTCAATAGGAATACAGCTGCTCCTCAATCTAAGCGCCATATTCCCACTTTCTCCCCATACCTGGTGCCTTTTAAATTAAAAAAAAATCTTTCTTGGATATATTGACTGGTATGGCCTCCACAGCCTTCTGTGGTACAGAATTCTACAGGGTCACTGCCCTTTGACTGAAGAAATTTTGCCTCAGGTCAATCCTATATTCATAGAAGTTCAGAGAATCCCTACAGTACAGATAGAAGGCATTTGGCCCATAGAGTCCACACCAACTCTCCAAAGAGCATCCACCCTATCCCTGTAATCCCACTTTTACCATAGTTAACTCACCTCGCCTGCATAATACACAGCAATTCAGCACAGCTTATCCATCTAAATCTGCACATCTTTGGAATGTGGAAGGAAACCCACACAGTCATGGAGAGAGTGTGCAAATTCTACATGCAGTCACCCAAGGCTGGAATTGAACCTGGGTTCCTGGTGCTGTGAAGCAGCAGTGCTAAGCACGCTATGCCACCCTATGGTCTATCCTCCATTCTGAATTTGTGTCCTCTGGTTCTAGACTCCCCAGGCAGGAAAAACATCGTCCCTGCATCTATTCTGTCCAACCCTGTTAGAATTACATTATGTATTTCTAAATACTAGTACATCCTTTATAGACTCTAACATTTTCCCAATCATAGATGTTAAGCCAACTTGCTTATAATTAACTGCATTTGTCTCCCTTCCTTTTCTGAATGAGTAAGTTACATTGACAGTTTCCCAATCCTCCAGGACTCTTCCAGAATTTAAGGATTCTTAGGAGATTACTATTAGTGCATCCACTTTCTCCGCAGTCAGCTGGAAGCTAATTTTCTGTTGGACACCTACAAACTTCAATTTTTTGCTAGAGCTTCTCTGTTCTGTTGATTGCAAAGTTGTCCCGATGTCAGGGTTAGCTGATCTCACATCCAAATCTGGATCAAAACTGTAATATCATCTAGAGGGGAGGGCTACACGCAGAACCCAAACTGAGAACCAATAAAACAAGTATGCACAAATAAGTTCTGCTTAATGTCACTCATTCCATAAGTTTATTGATGATTGTGAAATGCTTACAGGGTAATATTTAACTGATTTACATTTATATTATTTGTTGAGGCCAACAAATAATACCCGTACAATCTTCTAGAATGTCAGGCAGATGTCAATGTCATGGATGAAAAGCTTGGTTGAGGTAATTCAATATTTTCTTACAAATATGTTGAAAATCACAAAATCATAGTACCTTCCCTTCCTCTGAACAGCACTCGCTTTAGAAATCCATACCATTTTTAACATTGTGACAGAGTTCAGTGCATCAAATGATTTCTGAAACAAAAAAAAAAATCATTGAATCAATTAAAAGTTCCCAAATTCAGGATATTATACACATACTGATGCATATCAAGTTAAATTACCTCTTTTACTTTCCCAGAATCAATGACAAATACCACATCATTAACAGTAATACTCGTCTCTGCAATAGTTGTGGAAAGAATCTGAAATAAGACAGAAAAATCAATTGTGGTTTAAATGAATGAAAAACAAAGCTTAAATCTCGAGTTCTTATTCAACTCACAATTTTACGAATTCCATTAGGTAGACTTTTTAATACTTTTTTTTGATCAGATGTCTGCATGTTTGAATGAAGCATAAAAACCTGCAACCTAAAACATAAAAAAGCACTGTTTAGATATTAATTTGCATTAAATTAAATAAAACAACTTCTACAATACACATGGGATGAGTATTATGAAATACCCTTCACTTGCCTGGATTGGTACAGCTCCAACAACACTCGAAAAGCTTAACAGCATCTAGGACAAAGCAGCCTATCATTCAACATTCATTGTTTGTCACAGTACACACAGTTGTCACTGTGTCGATCGACAAGATGCACTGCAGTAACTCAATGTTTCTTTGGTGACACCTTCCAAATCCACAACCTGGAAGAGTAGGAGAAGCAGACGCAAAGGAATACCATACCCTACACGTTCTGCTCCAAGTCACATATCATCCCAACTTGGAACTAAATCAGCATTCCTTTATTGTCACAATCAAAATCCTGGAACACCCTTTCAAACTGCACTGTGGGCATTCCTGCACCATAAGGACTACAGCGGTTCAAGAAGGTATCTCACCATCACCCTCTCCAGGACAATAAATGCTGACTCAGCCAGGGATGCCCACAACCCAAGAACAAATTAAAAACAGGGCAGAATCTTGCTTCTTTTTGAAAAAGTGTTACTTGTGTCAAGATTTTTAAACAGAGGTTTTTGTCACCAGGCTAGTATGTTTTCTAGTCATACCTTACCAAACTCACCTCAATAATTACTTTTACCCTCCCATGACATCCCTATTGTCCGAGTCTAGTCCCATTTTAAAATGACCCATTCCCAGGACAACTCGTCACTGCTAGTACATCCCAGCATTCCTGGTACCAGCGTAATCTTTAAAAGGGCACCCAGATAAGCACTAAGAGTCCAGAGCTGCCCTACACAATTCTTGACATTTATCCCAGGCATGGAAGAGAGAACTGTAGGTCTTGCTGGACAGGGTGGTGCACAAATGGAAAATCCTCTTCCTTCAGGCCAGCAGGGGTGGCTATGGTATTAGGCCGCATTAGCCTGGTCTGCGGTTGCTGACTGGCTCAGTGCAATCTCAGTCATCTGGAGGAATGCACAGCTATGCAAGAAAATCAATGACCTCCAATCTGCTCACACAAGTGCCACCAACCTCCTTCTATATATGTCACAGTTACTCTCTCTCTGCTACTGTACTCCAGCTCCCTTCAATACTTGAGCTATCCCACTCTCACTAGTGGCTACATCTCTCATGCATAGATACCCACCCCTAACAGCAATAACCCTGCTTGCCCTTGGAGCTGCATAAACATTCACTCAGGACACCTCAGGATCTGCACCAGAAGTAACAGTTGTGCCACCTATTTATCTTGCTTAATACATGCCTCTTTCTTTTTCAGGAAGAAACCAGCCTACAACAGGGCAAAATGAGTCAAAACTGAGGTGCCCAAAGTGGGCTGCCTGACATTTGGCTTCTCAAACTTTTCATGAACAACATCCTGACTCTGACTGCCCCAAGTGATTGATAGACAATGTCGAAGTACCTGGACTAATACTGGAGGCGGCCCTTGACTTTCAGTCCTGGGACCCCTACTGAGTAAGGTTCTCTCCCTTGACTTGATTGAAGCCTGCTGACAAAAATGACAAGCTTCCTGGCTTGTGTCTGTGCTAAACAGTAAGGCAACACAGAGCTCCCTCCATCATGTGCTCCCTCTAGCTGAGGGGCAAAAGCACAAAGAGGTAAGGCAATTCAAGGCGGGTATGCTTTGGGCATCCAGGTAGGCTCAAAGTGTGAGAGCATTATGACAGCAAATAAACTAGGCTGGAGATACATCCTAATACAATCCATGCGTGGATGCGTGTTCCTGAGCACAGAGTCCTTGCAGCAGAGTTGCAATGATAGTTGCTGTTGCAGCCCAAGACACAACTTTGAAGTGCAGAACCATACTGTAACTGGATCAGAGATGTGCCATGAAGGTTCTTAGAGCCTGTCACATGTTGAAAGCTAACATCCATGAAAGTAGGGTGCATGGGCTAGAGCCTCTGGCGTGTGCCCAGAGATGCTGGTGCCCAGTATCCAACTGTGAGTTTCATGTTCAGGATTCTTGCTATCTGGCTTGTTCAGCATGTTTGGCAAGATAGAAAGGTGGCTTTAAAAAAAAACAAAAATCAGTGGATGAGGGTGTCATCAGCTAGGCCAGCATTTCTTGTCCATCCCTAATTGCCCAGAGGGTTCTGGAGTCACACAGGCCAGACCAAATAAGGATGGTAGTTTCCTTTCTTAAAGGACATTAGTGAACCAGATTAGGTTTTTTGACAATCGACAATGGATTCATGGTCACCACTGGACTCTCAATTCCAGATTTTTATTGAATTCAAATTTCACCATCTGCCATGGTGGGATATTAATGAAAGTTGCCACATTAATAAGACATTTAACGAGCTACAATTCCCTTTAAACAGCAACTTGCCACACTGCTGAAAACAGATACAAGTTGGTCCCAATGGTGGGACGTACCTCACCAGATCTCTCTCAGGACTCTACAACAAATCTCACCATAGCCCATGTGGTTCCAGCCCCTACAAGATCCTGCCTGCGGCAGAGGTGCTCAGTTTAGAAGATTTAGGATCATATTTAGGAGCCCAAATAGGTCCCATGTATCTTCAAAAAAGATTTTTTTTTGCCAACAAGTCAATTCAGTATAAGGCTGAGTAAATCTAATTTCCACACCAATGTCTGCAGGGCTGGAAACAGACCTTGACTTACAAAGTCAGTGAAAGGGGGAGAAATTAAGGTAGCATTCAAGAAATGCACAGCAGTAAACTGTTTAAGTAGCTAGGTAAGGGGGACCCAAATTCAAAGAATTTATGACAGCAAAGAGGTTTTTGCAGTTGGAAAAGTCAAAATAGAGACCGAGGAGAAAGATCTCAATAATAGGATGACGGAGGCAATGCTATCTAATAACTGTCCACCAATGTAATATCAACGTCACAATTACTGGGTACAGAAATTATGACCAATGCTAATATTGTACATTAATTTACAAAGGGAGAAATGGCTCAACCAAATAAATGCAGGCCAGTTCATATCACCTCAAGTTATTGAAGAAAAAATTAGAATGGTACTAATCATCACTTGGAAAGGCACAGATTAATCACGAACAGTCAATATGAATTTGTGAAGGGAAGGCTATATCAAATTAACTTGATTGTATTTTTTTTTTAAAAATGAGGTTTGATGAGCGTAGTACATTCTACACATTTATCTCAATTGCACATGGCAGACTGGTCAGAAAAGTAAACTTGTAGCATCAAATGAATATGCCAAGTTGGATCCAAAACTGGTTAATGCAGGAAACAAATGATGGGTGTTTGTGTGACTGGAACGCTATTTGCAGCCAGGTTAATGATGATTTAATAATAGTATGCTTGCTTTTCACGTGTATATTGTCATAATCATGTGTTCAAATAGTGGTCAGTGAATTGTAATTTAACATAGCTCATTCAGCCACCATTTAGATTTTTGAATTTGCAACTTAAAAAAAAACACCAGCAGCAAAGCTTTACTTTGAACCAGATCAAAGGTTGGTTTATCACACAACTATAGCTAAATGTTATGAAGTAAAAACATAATACAGTTACTCAATAAAATATGAAGATGAAAAGCAGACAAATAAAAGATGCTTATAAAAATGAAAGTCAGTTCAATCTCTTACTGGTCCATTACTTATTTGAAGATTTCTCTTGCTGAAGCAAAGGGATCAAAAACGTAAAAGTCAGAATTCAGTTGCTGCAAGTTGAGTAGCCAACAAGGTGTTTGCCCAAGTATACTCTAAGTAAAACAGGTTTCGACAGCAGTGTTTCTCACTAGTTCTCATAGATTAGCTCGACTCTTTTGGCAAAACTATGGTTGACTTCTGAAAAGCCTTTCTCTGGAGCTGTCTTCTGAGGAAATGGTCTCTCAGAAAGCAGCTCCACACTGTTATTTCTGACTCCAGCCTCGGCAATTCTTACTTTCTCTGAAATTCTAAGTGGTTCCCTGTGTAGTTGTTACTGAGAATAACGCATCAGCCTACCTGTCTTTCTGGCTGAAATGAGTCATTTTTAGATGCTGTGTCTATTTTTAAAAAGTCAAATTAGTTTACTTTATAAATTATACATTGTAACAATTACATGCTTGTTACAATATCAGTGATTTAAACGTTATACTGGACATGATTAGGAAATTTGAAGATAATACAAATATTGAATTGAATTGAATCATTTATTGTCACGTGTACTCAATGTAAAAATACACTGAAAAGTGTGTACCTTTGCCATACATATACGGCACCAGTCGCATTAACTTAGAATAAGAAAGATAACTTGAGAGATATTGGCCACATGATTGATAGTGAAGAAGAAAATTGGAGACATCAAAAAGATAACTTGGACTAATCAAATAGGCAGAAAATTGACAAGTGGATTTCAATTCAGAGAAGTAAGATAATGCATTGAGAACGTAAGAACTAGGAGCAGAAGTAAGCAATTGAGATCCTCAAGCGTGTTCCACCATGGATCACTTCTGATCACGTCTTGGCCTCAACTCCACTTTCCTGCTTGGTCGTCTTAATCCTTCAAACCACAGATTCACAATCCTTCGAGAAAAGCAATTTCTCATCTATTTTAAATCTGCTACCCCTTATCCGAAAATAATGATGTTTCGTTCTAGGGTAACTCTATGACAAAATCAGCAATCTCCTTTAGCATCTTGTACATCTTATTTGAGGGAGAATATGCACCATACTCAGATGCTAACAATTGTAGAGTACTAGGACCTTGGAGCGCATGTCCATCGATTACTGAAGATAGCAAGATAAAGTGTTTTAAGATGATATGTTCCCTTAGCCAACACACAGAATATATGAGCTGGGAAGTAATGCAAGAACCACACAAAATGTTATATCACAGCTAGCATGTTAGAGAAGGACCTGATTGTTTAAGGGTTACAGAGGACATTTCTAAAGATATTGGAAAAGGGCTAGAAAACAATATTGGGAAAGGCCTAAAAATTTTAGTTAGGAGGAAAGATTGGACAGATTAGGGCTGCTTCTTTTTATAAAGGAAGGAGGCAGAAGGGAGATATAACAGAGGTGTACAAAATTATCGACAGTGTGGATAAGAAGGATTCCATCACTGGCACAGAAGCCAACAGACAGGGAACATGGATTTAAACTAACTGGTAGAAAGGTGTAGAGGAGATAAAAGGTTCTTCTATCTACAGTTTGGACTTCACTGCATAAAAAAGGCAGAAAGTCCCAAAGCATTTAAATATGACTTAGATATGCACTTGAAGTACCACAACCTAGAAGGCTATGGGTAGGTAATGAAAATGGGATTTGCCTGGATTGCTCTTCATTGGCCAGCAGAGCTAAAAAAGGGCTTTATTTCACCAGGTTTGGAGGCAAGACCCAGAGCAAAATTAGAGGATCTCACATTGAGGAGGATCCACAAAATAATTCACCTCAGTGATCTGGCAGGAGGCAAGGTTTAAGTAGCACAGGCTATCCCTTTAAAAGCTGAAGGTGACTAATTTGCTTTGATTAGGCACTGATTTTGGAAGACAATGGTGATGGGCCAGGTAATGTCTTCCAGCAAAAAGCCAGGAAACATCTGACACATTCTTTAAATACTTCCTAATGCAGCCACAACTGTGGCTGCAAGCATCTGATATTTCCCTTCCATAATGATAATTTTGGCACAGCTGCAAAGTTATTTTAACCTTTTATTATTTTGCAGAACACCTCAAGAATATTCTCTGACCAGCACTAGCAATGCCCATTCCTATGTGGGCATGCTGCCAAATGTCACTATACCTTCTTTGACTGGACTTCCCATTTCCTGGTTGGTGACCATTGGCCATGACCAGAAGCAGTTTTTTTTTCAAATTTGCCCCTTCTAGAAAATTTGTGGCTAATATCCTATTACAGTCACTTTTGTGTTTCTGACTGCATGTACAGAAGACATTTCTACGTAAGATCTGTCCAAATAAACTAGCTTGAAATGCACAAAATAATTTTTAAAAATGATATAAATACCCATTTAATTACCTATTCCCGAAATTGTACATTATACTGGTTTTGAAAACTTACTTGTGAGAATTATCGGCAAATCGTTTGTCATCATAGAGTATGCGATCTCTGAGTCCTACAATTTCATCATATCCTGGTAAAAATATTAAAACTGCGCCTGGAAATTTAACCACAAAGACATTAAAATATTGTTTTAATTTTTTTTAAATAAGACAGAACAATCCATTATTGTACTACTAAATCCTATTGAATAATATATAAATGTTTGGAAATTTTGCTGACTATAGCACTCTAGTTATTTGATCTCCCAAAATGGCAAAGTGTGGATTCAGTCTGTTGTTGAGGATCAAATTACGGTCAAATCGCATCTGTTTTTCTCTTTGATTCTGTCAGAAGTCCCTTATTAAAAGGCACACCACCGTTTCTGCCATTCCTCCCAAATATTGCCAACACAAATCATATCTCAGGCCTTAAAATCAATGTAGAGATCTAAGATACACAGACAAAAGCTCAAAGAATAGGCAATGTAACAAGAAATGTTGGATGCTGGCCCCAAGTGGGAGTGACTGCAATCTCAAATCTACAATCCCACCCACTCCACATAACCTTTCAACCACCTTGCTTACAAAGAATCTATCCATCCCACCTCAAAAGAAATATTCAAACTCATACTCCAGATTCTAAGGTTAACAACCTATCTAAAAAGCTACAGTCAAGAGTTTATTCGGGTGATGAATGAAGTTTGGGCAAACGCTAATATTTGAGGTGCTGTTCTTATCTCATTGAAAACACTGAGTGCTGATATAAAGTTAGTTGCATATTTAAATTTAGTTTCAGAAGTACAATTCAATATAAAAAAAGCTTTCTTTTTGATGAGAATTATTTGTGCATCATTATCTTATTTTACAGGGGTTCCAGAAGCAGAGATTTATCATACACAGTGTTTGAATGTTGCCAGGCAATTAATTCAGGTTGCCTTCCTCAGAGCAGAGGAGACCGAAGTGGTCATTACTCAAATGTACGGGGTGGGGGAGATGGTGGAATCCTGATTTAAAAATGACCAATTTATGAACTTGATCCCATATAAAGTTACAAATTTAAATATCCAATGTGAAAATTTCTAGACTTTGAAACGGCTGCTTTATATTATCTTGCATCGTGTTCTGACTGGAGTACAAATTTGCAAATGGACCCAGGAATGGAACGCATTCACAACCCAGGACTGCCTGTATAAAATGGTAGAAGGATCAATTACCAGAGGCATAGATTTAAAAGTAAGGGGCAGTAGGTTTAGACGGGATGCTTGGACAAATTCTTTAACCTAGAGGGTAGTGGGGATCTGGAACTCATTGCCTGCGTCGATAGCAGAGGAAGAAACTCTCATAACATTAAAGTAGTATTTAGAGGTGCACTTATGTTGCCAAGGCATAGCAGGTTATGGGCCAAGTGTCAGAAAATGGGATTAGAAAAAGTACGTGTCTGCTTTTGACTGATGCAGACTCAATGAGCCAAATGGCATATTTTTCTGTGTAGACCTGTATAACTCTACTTAACACCAGCTTTTCAGACAGAATGCCCAGAAAATGTATAGCCCGCTGAGAAATAAATTTGCCTCATTTGTCACATCCACTCTATCAAGACTCTTCAGGATCTTGTATGGTTCCTCACCACAACAAACTCATTCCAGACATTAGTCTGATAAATCTTCTCCAGACTTCTTACACATTTATGTCCTTCCTCAAATAATGAGACCAATACTGTACACTGTACTTCAGATGTCATCTCATCAATGCCCTGTATAACTGAAGCATTACTTCCCTACTTTTGAATTCAATAAACAATAAAATTCTATTAGCCTTACCAACCACACACTGTACCTCAGTACGAACTTTTCAATTATATGCACTAGGACACCCAGATTCCTCTGCATTTTTCAGTTCAGATATTTTGCTGCCAAAACAGAGAATTTCGCATTTTCCCACATTATACTTGATTTGCCACAACTTTGTTCACTCATTTAGCCTATCTATATCCTTTGTAGGTTCCTGATGTCCTCTTCACAACTTAATTTACCACCTATTGTTGTGTCATCAACAAATTTGACAACTATACTTCCCATCTCTTCATCTGAGTCATTTATATCACTTGTAAACAGTTGAGGCTCCAGAAGTGATCCCTGTGGCACACCACTCATTATATCTTGATAATCTAAAAAAGACCAATTTATGCCCTCCTTGTGACCTCTTGATATGCAGCCAATCTTTTATCCATACCAAAGATGACACCTCCCCTACATGGAGCTTTTAATTTCTGTATTAAGCTTTGATGTGGCACTTTATCAAACATCTTCTGGAAATCTAGGTACAGTACATCAACCAGCTCCAATTAATCCACAGTACATATTACTTCAACAATAGATTAGAGTAAAACAATTTTCTCTTTACAAAGCTATGCGGACTCTGCCTGATTACCATGAACTTACCCAGTTGTCCTACTATAACTTCTTCAATAATAGTTTCTAACATTTTCCCTATGACAGATGTTAAGTTGACAGGTCCACAGCTTCTTGTTTTCTGTCTCCCCTTTATGTATAAAGTGAGTTA